CTTTGAAATTATTCACTCCCTAATCTGTTTCAGTGCAGTATACACAATTTATCCAGTTTTTCTCAGTCTTACCCCAACCCTGATATCAGTCCCATTTTACAACAGTGTTGTTGACATATTATCCATATTGAAGGTTGTAATTTTGTAAGGAGTTCTGGTAGCCTAATGGCAAGAAATTGCTGCAATCATAAAGGCATGCAGTTCGATTCCACCAGTTGCTCCACGGGAGAAATAAAGGCACTCTTCCCATGTGATAAAGTGCCTCTGAAAATCCACTGGAGGGTCAGCTATGGTTGGTCCCAACTCCACTGTAGGCAACAACCAGAGTCTTTGATATTCTATAGCAAGTCCTTTGATTTTCTCTGGCTTCAAAAGCAAGGTACTATCATGTACATATTGCAGGCTATTGATTAATATTCCTCCAATTCTGATGGCTCATTTTTTTTTTTCCATAATATACAACTTCTCAAATTGTTTGCTCAACCTATAGATTTAAAAGATGTGGAGAAAGGATACAATCCTGATGCACAACTTCCCTGATTTTAAACCACACAATGTTCCTTTGTTCTGTTCACTTAGGTGCTTCTTAATCTATGTATCGGTGTCATATGAGCACAGTTAAGTGTTCTGGGATTCCCATTTTCTCAATATTAGTAATAACAGTAAATTGTCCTTGCATAGTCAATAAATCACAAGTAAACATGATTCTCATATTGTCTGCCTTTAGCTAAGATCTATCAGATGTCAGCCATGATATACCCCTCTTTGAAGGCCTATTCTGAATCCAGTTTGAATTTCTGATACTCTCCTGTTGATGTACTGTTCCAGTCATTTTTTAATAATGTTTAACAAGATTTTACTTGCATGTAATATTAATTATAATGTTTGATAATTTTCACATTCTGTTGGACCTCTCTTCTTTAGGGAAATGGGAAGGTGTAGGCAGGTCAAAGGCCATATTTTAGTTTGCAGTGCCACACCACATAGATGACATCACCAGATTGCCCTCCCATCTTGCACAAAGGTCTTATTTTGGATATTATTCTTGTCACTCTTGAAGAATGTAATTGTTAACTTCAAGATGTGTCCTATTTCTTTTTTTTTTGCAT